TCCTCCTCCTCCTCCTCCTCCTCCTGTCCAGCTGCTATGCTGCAGCCGTTGGGCCGTTGTGGCCGGACGGCGTCGTTCGAGGAATCCCCTCCTCGCCCTTGGCCCTCACCTTCCTCCCGCATTCTCTCCGCCGCCGGGCGGCTTGCAGCAGAGCCGCCTTCCGCTAGCGGCGCGATGCCCGCGGCACCTGCTCCCTCGCCGGCCCGCTTGCCTTTCCCTCGCTCCCCCTCGCCCGGGTCCCGCTTCTTCGGCAGCGCCTCCGCCCAGCGGGGCTCCTCCATCTCCCTCAGTCCGGACGCCACTGCCTCGTCCGCAGGAGGCGAGCGAGAGAGCGCGCGAGGCCGTCCCGGGAAGGGCAAGCGGCGGCGGAGAAGTGGGGGTGGCCTTTTTGGCAGCAGTCTGACTCGCTCGCCAGGCTGCCAGCTCCGAGTGCTTAGTTAGCAGGCAGTCTGTTAGTCCGAAGGAGCTGCCCCGGGACCCAGGCTAGACGTTGGGAGTGAGCCCGGCCTGCTCCGCCCGCGGCCTCCGCTTGCCTCCAATGCCAGCCTTAACGCTGCTTTATCTGCTTATTCCGATAGCAGCTATTTTGGCTACAGCGCGGGGGCCTCGGCCAGATACAAAGCAGTTCGTTGGAACCTGCAAGAAGACGGAGGTCCAGAAGGTCCGCAGCCATAAAGCCCCCCCCCCCCTCCAGGGCTCTCTGGCTCCCTAACTGTTCCTGGCCCCCCTATTTTGAAGACATTCTGAATTACCTTCCTATACAAGTAGTCCTCGACTTACAACGGTTCGTTTAGTGACCGTTCGAACTTACAACGGCACTGACCAAAAGGTGACGTATGACCGTGTTTCACACTTAACCACCGTTGCAGCATCGCCCATGGTCACATGATCACAATTTGGGGTGCCTGGCAACTGGTTCATATTTCTGTCGGTTGCCCTGTCCCGGGGTCATGTGATCAGCTTTTGCAAACTTCTGACAAGCAAAGGCAATGGGGAAGCCAGATTCACTTAATAACTGTGTTTCTAACTTAACAGCTGCAATGCTTCACTTGACAACGGTGGCAAGAAAGGGGCAAAATTCACTTAACAAATGTCTCACTTAGCAACAGAAATTTTGGACTCAACAGTGGTCGTAAGTTGAGGACCACCTGTATCTCAGTTATCTCAATGGAAGGAGATACGTTTTTAAAGGCCGCAAAGGAGGAAGAGAGCAAGGCCCCAAAATTTTCAGTTGGTTTTAAAGTGCCAGACACTTTATCTCACAAAACAAACAGTCACAAAATACACAAGAGAAGGAGGGGGGGAGGAGAGGAAAGGGGCACATCCAATTTTTCTGAGCAGGAGCTTAAAGAAAATTATCAGAAATTCACAAGAAGCTGACAATGAACTATTTGTCATGCTTTCCTCCAGTTCTCTTGGCACGAGAGCAAAGCTTGTCCACTTCCCACCTTATCTAATCACTAGAAAATCCTCTGATTAATTTCTGGGGCTTTTTTTTAAAAAAAAGGGATTCCAAAGAAGATGGAAAGATGGAACAAAGAGCTGAAAATGCTCCCTGAATTCAGCAACAGCTTGGAAAGAACGGAGCTCCCTGCCAGCCTGTTTCCAAGGTATAACAGCTACAATATTTTTTTTTTATTTTTTTTTTCAATTTTTTTTTTATTATTTTCAACATAAGAGAAAAAAACAATCACAAGTACATCACAATTGAGAAAAACCCCCTCCCCACCCCCCACCCGGACTTCCCAAACCTAATCCCAGGATAACTGAGTTAGTTAAAGATTGTATGATTAAATGGGCTCAAAATATAGGAGAAATAATACCTATGGATACCTGGGAGTTGATATGGGTGAGAAATGTGAAATTTACGCAGGCACAAAATCTACGTGAAAATTTTTACAAGATGTTTTATAGATGGCACATGGATCCTGCAACTATGTCTCGCATTTATGAGAATTATGAA